TATCTTTCTGCTCCCCCGGCAACTGGCAGCTGGAGACGTCCCCGAGCTACCCACCCACCTGCAACCACGTGAGAAGCGCTCTGATGGGTAAATGTTCAGCATCCAGCCAATGCTCCGGCAGGCAATACTCCGGCGGGCCCTTATTGTGCTTTGTGCATGATCCCGACCACGTCCACCTGCCGTTCCTCCCTCTACCCCTCCCACACACCCGTTTTCCAACCTACGCTTCCCTACGCATGCATGTTATTCAATCCATTGACGCCCCTGCACTCGCACTGCAACATCTCACGCCCGGAGCTCCATTGCTGTGCTCGAGCCCTCTCTCGCTTCTCGAGCCCTCTCCTCTCCCTCAAACCGCCATCAACGCATCTTTACGCCCCCCCCACATCCTTCGACCTCCTCCCAGAACCCAATACCGGTCTCAGAAAACACGCGTCCACCCGGCCCTCCCTGACTGCTAATCCGCCCAAGCTGACGGCTCGCGTCCACCAGCATCACGTCGCCACACGACCCAGCAGTCCATCGCAACCTGCCGCCCAGCGCTTCCTCCTCAACACATACTCAACACAAGAAACTGATAACCTCCGCTGAATCCCATCCTAGACCCACGTCCTCCCTCTCGTCACCTTTCCACCAGGGCTGGACCTCGTTCCTGTCTCTCTCCTCTCCTCCCGTCCTGCCCTGAACCTCCTCTCCTCTCCGCAGCCTCGATTTTTCACAACCCAGGCACCGCCTGCACCCCCGGCGGCAGCCGTACCACCCGGCCTTGCAGCCCCACATACTGCACATCCACATTGGGCTTCTCGTTCTCATCCCAGCCCACCATATCCATCAGGTTCTCCGGCCGAATGGCCTTGAACACTACCGCGTTGGCGGCTACCGGGAACAGCAGCCGGGCCGCCAGGTGCATCACCCGGTGCCCGTCCTCATCCGCCTCCGGGAGTGCCACTCGACCAGTGTCCACATCGTGCTGCAGCTGAGGGTCAAACAGCCGATCTGCCGCCCAGCCCTCCGGGGGCGGCGGCTCCAGAACCGGGACCGCAGCGACAGCAGCGGGATTGACCTTTGCCGGCGGCTCTAGGCGTGGGGCTGCAGCTTCTCCCGCCTCTGCCCTCTTTTCGGCGGATGCCAGCTGGGGTACCTCCACCCTCAGACGCCTGAGTAGATCCTCGTTGCGTCGCTCCACCACATCGGGGACAGCCGCTTGGACCTCCGCCGCCGTCAAGGCGGCGGCCTGGCTCCTCCGCAGCGCCATCGCCAGCGCGCGCCGCGACCGGCGCCCATCCGCGCCCAGCACCTCGCCCTCCAGCGCGTCCCACAGTCCCTCCCTCTCCAGCCTCAATGCCGCCTCCAGCCAGAGCTCCACGCCCGGACACTGCCCTGCCGTCGGCAGCACCGCTCCTTCCCCAGCTGGCCCCATGGGTGCGGCGCTGCTAGCGGTTACATCCCCAAGGCTCCCAGACGGCAGCCACGTGCTGCCGCCTGACCCCGCACGCTCAGTCGCCATATCCTTCGTGCTGTCCTCTTCCATCTCCTGCTCGTCTTTGCTGCTGTCCTCCGCCGACTCCTCTTCTGCATCGGCCTCCAATTCCATCTCCTCCTCCCTGCCCATATCTTCCCAGCCACCGTTGTACCTGACGTTACCGCGCTGTGCACTGCGCCGCGGCCGCGCCTGCTGATTGTTCACCGCCCTGCTGAGCTCCTCCAGCGACGCCAGCTGCCGGGCCACGCAGTTCAGTGTGTCCTTCATGGCAGTCCCCTGCTCCAGCAGACCATGCACGTCAGACTCGGGCACGGAAAAGCCCGCTGCCTCGCGCAGCTCCGGAGCCAGGATGGTAACCGCCGTACCCAACGACGTCAGGCGCTCTGCTAGCCGAACGACACGATGCAACGCCATGGAGAGGGAGTTGGGCCGCAGGGAGCGGCCTGGCAGCGCCACCGGCGCTACTGTTGTTGCTGCTGATGGCCCTGCTGATCCCTCGGCTCCTGTAGATCCGCCTAAATCCATGGTAACGGAGACAGGATCTTGATCGCCGCCAGAGGCAGCACACGCCACCGTTGATGTCCCGGCACTGGTGCTCGCAGCAGCAGCAGCAGCAGCCTCCGTCGCATGCAAATCGCCCTCCGGCCGTCCGGCAGAAGGTGCTGCTTCAGCGGCAGCGGCTGTGGCGCATGGCCTGGTCCCTGACCAAGCAGCCAGTTCCGCGCGTAGCACATTTATCAACTGGTCCGCTCCATCCTCCAGCAGCTCTGCCGCGTCACCGCACAGCTCCGCAACGTGTCGCAGCAGGGTGCGAGCGCGACTGGACAGGCGGCGACGGCTGTACTCAGCGTGATCGGTGAACCTGGGAGCGTCACAGAGCCAAGAAAACATAGTCCAGGGAAGGTGAGCCGCAACGCCGGGACACAGGCCTGCCCACAGCGACAGTTATCGCGATATGCCCGAGAGATATGCCCGAGAGCGCAAAATGCCGCGAGGTTCAGCAAACGCAAAAACACTGGTATGGGCTTCGGTTGGCAAAAGATATGTGCAGGCTTGGCCGCGCATAGGATCAGCCCTTCGTACCACCCTCTGCAGCCCTCGCAGCAACACGCAACAACTGCCTGCGCTGCTCAGTGCGAGGAGGGCTCCCGCACACGCGCACTTCCCGTTCCGCACGCTCCGCATCCTAGCCACCCAGCCTCTCGGCCTACCTTGCTCCGCGGTCTGGTGTCCCACCCCAACCCCACGCCAGCAGGCACCCACCTGAACCAGATCACCGGGTGCAGCATGGGAAGCCCGCCATTCCCCAGCGTGGAAGAGCTGACAGCACCACCCGCCGCCGCGCTATCCGTCGAGCCGCTGCCGCTGCTGCCACCTGCCTCCGCCTGGACTGCTGCCTGACGTTGAGGCCCCTTCTCCTCAGCGAGGTGCTGAGGCAGCAGTTCAATGTACTCGGCATGCTCCATCACCACGTGGCGCACCCAGGGAGGGAGCTGTCCGCTGGCACAGGCCGCAAATACGCTCTCTGAAGAGCACCCAAGACGAACAGGAGGAGAAGAGCAGCCGGCATGGGATGCGGCATGCAGGAAATGTCGAGGGATATGGTATCGCCAAAGGGGTCCGTACGGTCCAGCGGCAAGAACAAAAGCACAGGAGCGAGATTGCAAAACAGCGCAGCAATCAGTGTTCGAGCAGAAGCGCGACAGCAGCAGGGGAGTCCGTTGCTAAGGAGCCCGCGGCCGAAGGGGCTACAGGCCGGCCGAAATCGAAGGGGCCCGTTAAGGACTTGGTGAATGCGATGGCGCGATGCTGCTGAGACGTACTGCGGCAATAGTAGACCAGGTTGTGTGAAGATCACGCAGACGCAGGCGTCACACCGTAAGTGACGAGGAATGACTTTACAGTCTGCCCTGCAGCCACAAAGCCCATCAATTGGGCCCTTCCCACACACCCTTCTTACCTGCGTCCAGCTTGTCGTTCAGAGCCCTGACGGACGGCTGCTCCAGAATGGCCCGCATCAACTCGTCGTACGAGAGCACGGGCGGTGAGCCGGTGTTGTGCTGCGGCGCCGTCGCTACCAGGCCGCCCTGTGGCCAGTCCTGCGGCAACAGCCCTGCCAGCAGCGCCCCGCTCTGCACGGGGCAGGACAGGCGGCCCTCGCGGGACACAGCCAGCCCCTGGAGGATGGCTGTGGGGTGAGAAGCAGAGAGTTGCCGTAGGCTCAGGGTTTCGAAGCTATAGCCGAGGCTTGCTTAACAGAAAGGCAAGGTCATGAGGTGAATACGAAGGGAAGGCGAAGGCAAGCTCAATTCCGAGGGACCATGCACGACAAGGGAGCGGGCAAGATGCCGAAGGAGATCAGCAGGCCGTGTGTGTTACTCCTGTACCCCTCATAAAGCACCGCAGCCTCTAGGACGTACACTTTACCCCAAGCAGCCAGCTATTTTAAGTAAACTGCTTTTTCCACGGGCCCACACAGTGTGTTGCGACTGAGGCAATACCCACGCCATCTTCTGCCGTCTCCTGCCCGCCTCACCGATGCTTGAAGCAGCCTCCGGTGTCAAGAGATCCGACCGCAGAGCCATCTCGTCTAGGACGTAAGGGCTGTCGTACCATGGAACGTCCGTAGGCCTGCCGCCGGCCGTAGATCCCCCTGCATTTCCCCCTACCCTCTCCCGGGCGCCCGGCTGTAGCAATCCCCTCCCCGTGCTCTTAGATGTCCCCGCCGTAGGCTGCTGCTGGATGAACTTCAGGCGGTAGGCTCGTTCGTACCAGGTACGCATGAGAATGTCCTGCCCCAGCACCCTCGCCGTCTCCCGCCGCTCCTCAAGGGAGTTGGCCCCGGGGTCCGCAGCCTGCTGGTGCGCCTGAGGCTCTGCGGTGCGCGCCTCCGCAGGGACAGGCAGGCGCGCGCCAGCGGGCAGACCCCGCAGCATGGACAGCCCGAGCGGGTCCCGGGCGGTCGCGCGGGCCGCCATCTGGCAAAAGAAGCTCTCCAGGCCTGACCAAGCAGGCAAGGTGTAAGAGGAGGAGGCGATGCGGTGTGCGGGGGATCAACTTGAGAAACGATGAGCTGTAGTAGGAAGCGCACATTTCTGGCTTCTCGAGCAGGTATATAGCCCATAGAGACATGGATAAACTCCTGCTTATGGGGGCCCGCTGTCCTAATCACACTGCACGGTCGCCACGCGCTTTTCTTATGAAGCGCCCCCAAGCCCGATTCTTTTATGAAGCGCCCCCAAGCCCCCAAGCCCGTGAAGGGGGTACGGACAGGAAACCTCGGTGCCTCCTCCACGTCCTAAGAGGACGAATGTACTGGCATGGCTTTGCACGGGAAAGGAAGAATGAAAGACACACGGGCCAGTCCGTTCAGTCCGTCTGTCCTTGGTCCTTGGCACATGCATCGCTCAGCATTCACGGAGGCAAGGCCATAGGATCACACGCACAAGACGAGCGGCTTATGTAGCTTAGGCAATCAAGCTGTGACGCCTGCGACTAGATCACGCGGGTGACTCACGTTGTGTCTTCCACGCCGACAGCATCTCCGCCGCTTCGTTCAGGTTGGTCGGATCTATGGGGTGCGTCTCGGGATGGCTCGGCATGGGGTGGTGCTGAAGCAGAGGCAGGACCCATTTTAGGCAATTGATCATCAGCGAACGGTGGGAGAGCTCTCCTGTGGCGTCAGGACCGGTCTGGACGGGGTGGAATGGAAGGGACGGCATAGGATAGGTAGGTAAGGGCGGGGAGTCGACACGATGCAGGATTGAAAAGTAGATTAAGGGTCTGTGTGATTGGGGTTCTGAGAGGATTGGGGGCCTGATGGAGTGGACGGTGACAAGGTGGAGCTGCGCGGGCAGCCACATACCCACAACCCTGGCAAGAGTGGGTGCGTTGAGTGCCAAGTTGGCGGGGTAGGCAGGAGAGGACAATTACCTTGAGGATAGCCAGTAGGTTTACGTTGTCGGCATACTTGGCGCAGAACGGTGCCCAAGAGTTCGGGATGAAGGCATGGTCAGCCCAGTAATGAAGCGTTCCCGTGTCCACGCCACCGTCCGTGTAGATGGCTACAAACCTCACAGGATGTAGATCCTGTGACGACTGCTGAAGTAGGCGGCAAAGGTACTTGAAGCTTGGTAATCGGAAGGGGCCCACTGCAGCCGGTGCCGAGGAGGTACCCCCCTTGGCAACCGAAGGTACGAGCTGCAACTGGAAACCCCCATAGTTAAGCTTAAGTATATTAGCCCACACGCTGTTTGCTTGAAGTAAACCATGCAGGGTCCTGCAAGTGCGCTGTAGCGAAACCAGGTCTCTAGGCGACGTCAGGAATTGGGCTATGTGCACAAGGCAGAACGAGTCCAGAAGCAGCAAAGAAGGCGAGTCCACGTCGGTCATTTTTTGCTGGTTTCTGCTTAAACAAACGACGCAGCACAGATCGCTTCAATTTCTAATTATTTTGTAAGTCAGCTATAACTGGCTGCTAGATGCACTGTATGGCGTGTTGTCTTCTCCGCTTCTGTCGGAAGTTGAGGGCCCACTGCCCCGTGCATCGAACACTGTGCGACATGCTTTAGGCAACATAATTGCAATCTCTAAAATCTTTCAATTTCTGCATCTCCCTCTTGTTCCCCTATTCAGCAATTTCACAGTTTTGCCCCGTCATATGTATAACTGAACAGTCGCAGCTATTGTTACTCTTCTTGGTGATAGTAGCATAACGTTAGCTCTACGTTTCAGCTATAAAAATATCCTTTTAATTTTGCTTGATACCAGAGCGCCGGCCGCCGACACGTAACGACATAAGCTCTGCTTGAGCGCATAGCTGGCACACAAGGCGTCTCACGTTTGACTTCTGGATACCCGTTAGGCCACATCGGCGCGTGATGGCGGACAAGGATGCCGCCGCGTCTACTGGACGCGGCGGCGGGAGGGCGGGCGCGCGAAAGGTAACACCCTCCTCAGCGCTCCAAAAACAGGCGTTAATGCCCCCCTCGGCAACGAAGGCTCCGTCCGAAGCCTAATGCCATAGCGGTTTGAAATCCTGTAATAACGGATCTTCCCCAAGCACACCAAAACCCCAGTCCAACCCCTTGCAAATCCAAACCGCTAAGCGCTGACCTGCCAGTACCAAGCTCCAAAGCCACAGCTTCGAATCGGCCGCTTTGAATTGCTCTTTCAATTATGCCCCCTCCTTAACTATAGCACCGCCTTTGCATCCTGCACGTCGACCTTGGTCTCCCTGCTGTTGCCCTCTTTCCCCTCCCCACCCTCCAGTTCATGCCCACCATGCCCGGTCGGCGCAAGAAGGCCGAGGAGGGGGGCGCCGCCGCCGCTGGCGACGCGGGTGTAAGCGATGAGGCATTCAAGGACCTGATCAAGCAGGCGCAGTCGGCGGCAACGGGGGGACGCGGGCGCGGACGTGGGCGGCACCAGCAGCAGCGCTTCCTGGTTACTTTCGGTGTGGGCGGCGAGGAAAGTGAGTAGGGTGTGTGTGGGGCCGGTGACTTGAAGCATCAGGCCGCGTGCATTCAACTTGTGGGGTGGACTGTGGGCAGGGGTACCCCCTCGTGCTGTAACCTCCACTTGCGATTACCTCTTCACATGTGGAGTGGCGGTGCTGCGGCCTTCCGTGTGCACGACCCGGGCGGGTTGGGTCTGTGGCTGTTGTCGTTGCGGTTGTTGCTGCTGTTGTTGACGGGGTGTTACACTGTGAATGGCTCGTCCTGAGAGAGGACGAGCACCCGGGGCACTGATCGGACTGAAACACAGCTCAGCGGCAGGCGCGCAGCTCCATGTCCGTCTGCTCCTCCGCGCGCGCCTCACTCCCTCACTAGCACCAGCCGGGGCGTTCTCCCAGCCCTCGACCAGACAACACAGGGGCGCAGAAGACTGCAGACCGTACCAAGTGAGAGCCGCGCGAGATGCGCCACATACCTCACGGGTCATCTGACGCGCTCACACCCTGGACGTCTACTTTGGCAGTTGACACATTGCGCTTCTCCTTGAGTTATTGCATCATCCGCCCTAATGATGGCGCCCATTATCAGGACCTGCCCTGGCGGCAGCCAAGCATTACGCTCGCAGGTGGGTCGCGGCAACAGCGGCAGCAGGCAGCGAATGGGGAGGGCGAAGAGGAGGGGCAGGGTACAAGACGGGGAATGAGAGCCGGTGTATGGGGGGGTTCGAGGAGGGAGAGTCTTCAGTTCGTGCGCTGGGGACTGACGGATTGCGTGGTTGTGCAGTCGAACAGTGCGACTAAAATGGTAGGTGCGGGACGGTGTTTTCTTAGGCCTGCAGCGTAGTTGGATAGTAGTGACTATGAAGGGCCCGGCTGTGCAGCCGCTAGCCCTGCCAACACCTTTGAAAACAACAACACCAATAACGCAATACACGTAGCGGTGGAGCGGGTGGCGGCGGCGGTGGAGCGGGTGGCGGTGGAGCGGGTGGCGGCGGCGGGAGCGGCAATCGCGTCAAGACCGAGGGTGCTGGCGCCGACGAGGAGCCCCTTCCTGACCTTCCCGACGCAAAGCCCGCGGACGTCAAGTCCATCAAGCCGCGACCTGCCGTACTTGACTACACGCAGTACTACCCCACGATGCTGCCGCTGCGTGTGCCCGGGGAGGAAATCTGGGAGGAGGCGGAGGGCGGGCCGGGCTTCCTGCCCAGCGCACTTGACTTGGCGGGGATGCCGGATGTACCGCAGCGACCCGGGGAAGATTTGGATCTGTTTGATCCGGAGATGGAGGACCAGATGTTTCTGATGCAGATGCCGGCAGTGCTGCCGCTGCAGCCCGGGAGAGGCGGGGGTGCGGCGGCCGCAGGCGAAGCCGAAGGCGGTGGAGGAGGAGGAGGGGGAGGGGGAGCAGCGGGTCCTGGGCCGAGCAGCGAACGGCGGCGAAAGGAGGCGGCGGCAGCAGCAGCCAGTGAGCGAAGGGGTCAAGGAAGGGAATGGGAGCGATGGGGTATCGAACGGTGGTATTCGGCTGCTTTTGTTGCATTGGCTTCTTTGCATTGGCTTCTGGGTTGATGACCTGTGTCTTACTGGGTCGTACTGAAGTGCGCCGGCTGGGATGGGGCCAGGCCCAGGCCGAGCTTGAACCATGCCGGATGAGTGAAGTTGAACAAGCATAACTCATTTCTTTGCGTACATACTTGCGTACACACTTGTACGTTCCCACCCTGCCGGCCTCCAAACCCCACACGCGGCCCCACCTCCCTTTGCCTCCCCCAGACCGCGCTCCCGGCTGTAACATGCGGGAGCTGCCCTCGGGCCGCATCGGCAAGCTGCTTGTGTTCCGCAGTGGCAAGGTGCAGATGCAAGTGGGGGACGTGCTGCTGGACGTCAGTATAGGACTGCCTAATCAGCACCGCCAAGATGTGAGTACTGAGCAGGGGCGGGCGGGAGGGGAGTTGGGGAGGGGAAGAGGAGGCATGGGGCGCAGCAATGTGTCGCCACGGCTGGTGGGGACACGGCAGCCATGCAGGTAATAGGCCCCGTTTCAGGGGATGGCGGCTCATCGCGCCCGTCCGTTCCCGTGTCCATAAAACCCGATGGCCCATTTCCATTACGCCGCCGCCCTCGGCCTTGTCCCACCATCCCTCCCTCCCTCGTGGTTCGTCTTTCACTCCCTCCCTCCTCCCTCCCTCCCGTCTAAACTCCGGTTTCGCACGGTGGTCTCCCTCTCTCCCCCGGCTTTGGCACGTGAGCAGGTCGTGGCCCTCAACCCCAGCAGCAACGCCTGTGTGCTGCTGGGCGATGTGACCCAGCGTGTGCTGGTGTCCCCGGACGTGTTGCAGCTGCTGCGGGAGGACTCGGTGCCGGAGTTCCGCAGGGCGCCCGAGGAGCTGCCCGACCTCACCAGAGCGCACCGCAAGGCGAGGGGCTACGACGATATCCAGCAGCAGCCAGACGGAGCACCGGGCGATGTGGCCGGCATAAAGATTAAGACCGAGGCGAGGTAGCTAGCCATCGTTACTCTGCCTCATAGCTGGAAGCTGGGGGCCAGGTGGTAGGGACGATGGGGCTTGTTGGAACAGCTTTGGATTAGGATTGGGTGATAAGACGGGCGGACGGGTTCGGCACTGGGCCAACTGTTAGGCATGAGAGGAAATTCGTTCTGAGTGTCCTTCGTCCCGTGGTCGGCGTCACATGCCGTTGGTTTGTGAGGGTTGTTGCCCAGGAACATCGCAGGCGCGTGTACTTGGGACGGAGATGGGATGGTGGCTGAGTTGGAGTGGTGATATGGCCGTGGTTGGTTGGAGTGGGGCCTGACCCAGATGGTGCTTGGGCGGAGAGCACTGGAGGACCCTTTCCTCGCGCCACTGTCTCATGAGGTCACCTGGCCCAAGGATTACCTGGCATTGTCATCAGGGAAGGAAGGAAGGATTCCACAGATGGGATGGCTTTCAGGAGCAGCGGGTGATAGTGGTCGGGTGCAATTTGGCGTAAACTGTTGCTGATATGATCGGTCTCCATTTAGTTCCAACGGTTCCTAACCGACTTATGAGGCCATGGCTAAGTGGCATTTGAGCTTAAGCTTGGCCGCCCTGGAGAATATTTATGGCGACGGGTTATGGTTTTGCCACTTCCCCTCAGGCTGTCTTTGTATAAACCTATAAACGATTCCTTCTTTACAGCAGTAACATGGATGTTTGCTGTAATTTGCAAGGGTGTCTTTGGAGAGCAGCCCTGACATCTGCCCTGACCTTGCGTCCCTTCGGAACTTCAGTCAACCAACGGGAGAAAACATGCAAAGAATCTATTTCGAAATTGTTTAGCTTATATAGCGTTTCATCTTGAGCTAAGTACCGAGCACTGAGCAAGTTAAAGACTTGAACCTTGAAGCACGATATTGCACAGTTGCAGGTTGAGTTCGTTAGTTGTACAATTTAATTTGTCTTCGCTGCTCCTGGACGTAGAGCCCAGTAGCTTAGCGCAAACGATTGCGGTAAGAGAACTTGTTGATAAGGATGTCCATACCGGCTTGATCAACTTACACGACACGGGGTCTGCGAGCCTCAATTTACACGCAGCGGGCCATACATGACCTGTAATAGCTGAATTTTAAACAAAGATGCTTCAATTAAGTTCTCTAGGGCCCGTGCGGCTACCGTGCCCTTGTAGTCGGCGTTGCGGCGCTCGGCTGCTCGCACCAATTGCACCAAGCCGGAGCCGACCTGGTGCTTTGTTCCTTCCCCAGTTGATGCGACGTGATGTTCGTCTTTACGCCGGAAAACGTGGCAGGCGTAAGTCTCTCTTCAGCGGGGAACGCAAGGCATAGCGTGCTCGTCCGACAGGTGGCTTGCTGACGATCACTTCACTCCGCCACACTTCCCCTGAACTGCAGCTCGAAAGGATCAATCAGCGCAGAGCCCATCAACGTCCTTGCCAGGTGCGCACGGCTGCCGGGGTCCGCGCAGCCGTGCCCCTCTCGGGGCCCTTTCGGAAGACAGCGACATGTCTCACATGGCGCGTTGACCCTGTATCCCTCTGGGTAATTAATTTGCCCTAATTACGCCCAGCCCTGCCTGACTGGCATGGCGCTTTCCCCTCCAAGACACCGTATGTGCGACCCTCCTTTGCATCCCGGGATATGACACCATGCCGCTTCTCCTCCTTCAGCTGGGTCGGAGACGAGGGGACCAGGAGGAAAACGGAGAACGTGGGGATTTCAGGCTTGCCCGCCAGGCCTGGACCCCCTCCTAGCTGGCCATTAGCATTGCTACACGCAGGCAAACGCAGGCACACACACACACACACACACACACTCTCCAGCCTGTTCTGCTGTCTGCTGGCCGCTTCGCACCCGCACAACGTCCGCCGGCAGAGCAGCCGTGCCCTCCTTACCATCTACCGGACAGCAGCACCCAGCACGACCTCATCCCAGCCAGCCACCCCAATACAGCTACGCCAGCCCGTTGCGCCCAATGCCACCACCGCACACTTCCTTCCGCCCCACCTGTAAAGCTGCGCCTCCTCTTTCCCCCCTCACCCGCGCCCTCCACCTCCCCTGGCGGCCCCTTCCATCTGCCTGCCTACGTGACTTGGGTGACCGTGATGTCCCGTTGCGGGCTGCGGGAGGTGCAGCTGACGGCGGGGAGGCGGCGGAGGGTGATAAGCCCCGCAAGGGCCGCCGCAGCCGCAAGGAGCGAGAGAAGGAGGAGGCTAGGGACCTCCTGGAGAGCCAGCAGATCGACATGGAGGTGGGCCGCGGGAGGAGCCAATGCCTGAGGGGCAGTGGGGGCCCCCAGACGGAAGCGCGGACAATAAGGGGATTGGAAGAGGAGCGATGGGGTTTTACGACCTATAAGTTTGTGTGTGTGAGAGAATGCGTTTGCATGTGAAGTGTGTGTATATGTGCGCCTAGAGAAAAGGGAGAGACGAGGTGCATAATTGAGCTCAGGAGTGTTGGTGTGCACGGTGTGTGACGTACTCTCCCGCACCCATACCTTAATTTGTTGCTTCGGAGTGAAGGCCCCTGGGGTCCCTAGCAGCCTATGGGGCTGACAGGACTGACACACCGCACCTTGCGGCGAACCGAGCGGGAAGGCTGGAGTGTTTGTATATAGTGGCGGTACAGACCCCGTGTATTTCCCCCCTCACTGCCCCTCTTCATTACGCCACCGGCCACCGGCCACCACCATCACCGCCCGGTGGCCGTGCCGCAGGTTCTGGAGGAGTTCAAGGCCCGGGCAGCTGCGGAGGAGGAGGCGCGCAGGGCGACCATGGGGGATGCAAGCGAGGATGACCCGCGGCGGCTCAACTTCCACAGGTGTGGTGCTGGCCAGTAGCTGGGGTGGAGGTGTGCGTGGTGGTGGTGGTGGCGGCGGGGCGGTTTCAGTGCTTGACACGGTTTGGGTTGGGAGAAGCGAGGTTGACACGGGGTGCGTAGTGAGGTGCTGGTTTGTTCATCTGTCTATCTGTCGTCCAAACAGCCAGCCATACACCGTCCCCCGTACCCGGGTGTACCCCCCACCCCCATTTCACTGACCCCCACTTGTCGACTTCCCTTCTTTCTCTCCGTCCTTCCCCACCTACCCCACCTCGCGTCCTGCCCTGTTCCTCACGTGTGATACCTAACCCGGGCTCCCCCTCCACCCTCTCCTCTTCCCTCCCTCCCCCGCACCTCAGGTCGCTGTTGGCCGCCTCCCAGCGCGGTCTCACAGCTGAGTGCGCCCGCATCATTGAGGCCATGTCCGATGCGGGGCTGGCCCCGGGTCCCCGGGCCATACACGTGTGGGCCTACTCGTACATTCAGATTGGGGACGGACCCGGAGCCAAGAGGACTGCAGAGGCGGGCAGGGAGGCGTACGGTGAGGGGGAGAAAAGGGGGGAGGGGGGGACGTTAATTAGGCTGCTGGGGGCGTGTGTGTGGGGGGGCAATGCGGGGGCATGGGCCTAGCCTGAGTAGACATGTCGTCCTGATTAAACAGCTGTATGGCTCATATGGAGTGGTCCGATGTGGTGGCCCAGCCCCCAGCCCAAGCTCGCGCGCTCTTCGCCGGGATGTATGTACGTACGTATGTAAATGTACATGTGTATTCCACCTCGAGTTCCGTTAACTTCGTATGTATGAGGGGGTGCATCAAGAGCTCATACCAGCCATAAGTGTGTGTGTGCTTCCGTGTGTTCGAATGTGTCCTCTTGCTTTTGTCTGTGTGTATATGCGCGTCTGTATATGCGTGTGTGTGTAATCGCTTCCTGTGTGTCTCTCATGCCTCCCTCCCCCTCCCTGGCTTCCTTGCATATGATTTCCCCCTCCCGGCCCTGGTCCTGATCAGGCATCTCCTGGATTCCTGAGACCTACGTGGCGCTGATGCACGGCGCACTGAGTGCCACCCCCGGGGGCCCCGACCTGCTGGGGGCGCTGCAGCTGTGGGTGGCGCAGCAGGACGCGGGGGCAAACCCCCAGTTGGGCTTCACATTCCTGACCAAGGAGCTGTTCAGGATGAGGTACAGCGCGCTGGCTATGCAGGTACGGGAGTGTGGGCGGGTGGGGGGGAATGTGCGGGTCCGTGTGTAGGCCTGTGTGTTACAGTTATATGGGGAGGTAAGGGTGGAGGCGTAGGGCGAGAAGGGGTCGGGGGCGTGTTGCGTAGAGTGGTGGTGGTGTGGCGCGTGTGGTGGTGGTATTGGATGTCAGGGGATGCTGGGTGGCTGTGCGGGTGGGGGGGAGTTGGGTTTGGAGGCACAGCGGCCGTGATGCCCTCGGGGTGAGTAGCATTAGGGTGGTCGGGCGCCCTGGCGCTGCCCCGCCACCCTCTTATTGTCCCGCAATGTCGATTTACGCATCGTACATCTGTCGTACACACGGACACGTGTGGCTGCCTTCCTCTTCTACCCCTAGCCTGCTGCCTACCTACGGCCCTTCCTCTGCCCCATCCGTAGATCTTCTCATAGCCCTTTTATCTTTCTTTTACGCTCACGTCCCCCTTTTTGCCCCATCCTTATCGCACCTCCCCTCCCGCCGCCCGCACACGAACCGTCCAACGGCCCTCTCACCCCTCTTCCCTCCCTCCGCAGGTGGTTTCGGAGGGCTACGCCGCCGGATTGCAGCCCGACGAGAAGCTGGCGGCCCTGGTGATTGAACAGCTGTGCAAGCAGGGCCTTATGGTGGGTGTGGTGTGCGGCATCAGTCAGCTCCTCTCACAGCCACCATCACTACTCGCCCACCTGCTCGCCTGGACGCTGGGAGTTGTTATCCTGTTTGCTCATTTGCAATGGCCCTTCCCCCTCTCCCTGCGCGAAGTAGGAGGAGGCCCGTGCCGAGATGCAGCGGCTGCTCGACGCCGGGCTGCTAGTGGGGCCCGACCATTACGACACCATTGTACGACTGGAGGCAGCTCGCGGGAACCTGGGGTCCGCCAGGGAGATGCTGCAGAACTTCTACACAGACCAGCGGTTCGCCCCCCCACGTGCCTCGTCGTACACAGCGCTCCTGAAGGGCCTTGTGTCGGCTCTACGACCATCTGGCGGCTCCTCCCCCCCCACTGGGCCCCCGGGTGAGGATGAAGAACAACCCGGGGAGTCCGGCAGTGGCGGCGGCGGTGGAGGGCGGTTGGTTCTGGAGCCCGACCAGCTGGACCAACTGCTAACGGCTCTGAGGGAGGAGATGGTCGCGAGGGGGTTGCGGCCCGGAAGGTGGGTACGGTGTACGATTTATGGTGTACGGTGTAGTCCCCAGTGACTGTATGAGTCTGGGGGGGGAGCCTCCTGTGCGCATTAGGTCGTACTGGTAGCGGGGAGGGGGGCCCAGCTCGGGAGTCTGGAGCCTGGTGAGCTGTGTTGGTTACCTGGGCTACCTCAAGTACCGGGTCGCTGCTGAAAGATGCCCCCTCGCCCCCCGCCCCCCCGCCCCCGCTTCACTCGTTCGCGGTTCGTCTTTCCCCCCGGCCCCCTTCCCCCGCCACCCCAAAGGGATACCTACGCCGCCATGGTTGAGGCGTTCGCCGTGGTGGGGGATCTGGACAGCGCCCTAGCCGCCTATGAGACTATGAACCGGGCCAAGGGTACCCCCGCGCTGCTCAGGAAGAAGTACCTGGGCCAATTTGTGGGTGAGTGAGGGAAGTGGGTCAGCGAAAGGCGGGAGGAAGGCGGGGCTTACCACTGCACTGCCCTCTGCTTCTACCACACACATATACTCACATATACAAACATACACACACACCACACACAACCACGCACCCACACCCACACCCACACCCACACCCACACCCGCACCCACACCCGCACCCACACCGGGGGGAGCCCAAGAGGATTTGTTGACTCGTAGCACAGCTCGTCACGGCCATACCCGCGTCCATCA